AGTTAACTTTGATTCCTCTTCAATAAAAAATGTTTTTTTTTCACATTTACTTTTATATTTAGGTTCATTTAAAGAATATATGTCCTCTCTTTGTTTAAATAAGTTATTTTTTAAACAAGTAGGACATGTATTCTTGAAATAAAATTAAATCAAAAAGAAAATGTGGAAAAAAACCTTTTTTAGTGAAGAGGAATCAAAGTTATCTATTTGTTTAATTATATTGTTTATAACAATTTAAATAAGTTATGTTTTGAACGAGGAGGACATATATTCATTAAATGATCCTAAATATAAAAGTAAATGTTAAAAAAAACATTTTTTAGTGAACAGGAATCAAAGTTAACTTTTTGTTAATTAATATTGTTCATAACAATTTAAATAAATTATTTTGTTTTATTAATTGTCTGGTGGATATATTGGATTATTTTGAACTTATTTAGATCATGTGCAGTAACGGAATAAGAAAATAAACGTCCTTTTTAAAAAAATTGTATTAATTTTTTTAAAATAAAAAATTATAAACAATTAATATTTAAAAAATCGGCCTCCCAGGATGTCCCCTTTAATTTAAAACAAAAAACACTCAAATCGGTTAAAAATTGTAGGCTGTAGTCATTTTTGAACAGTAAATTGTAAAAAAATCCAACTGTGAGCCGGCGCGCGATAGTGCAATTAAAACTTTGACAATTTATTACTAAAAAAACAAAGACAGATGCCCTTCTAAAAATTTCACGGTTTTTTAATGAGATCTTAAACTTTGAAATAAGATTTTTTTTAAACAAAATTTGATAGGGCTCATGCTGAAACATTAATAATAAATATAATTTTATAAATAAATAATTAAAAAAATTGATATTTTTTATTTTTAAATTTTTTTTACTAAACTTCAATGGTTTTTACGTAAAAAAGGTTCTTAACAAATTTAATAAATTTTTAAAAATAAGTGAGTTATAATAAAATGAAAAAAACATGTCAAGAAATTTGCAATGCAAATATCTTAAAAAATAATAAAAATATTTAATTAAAATTTGGTATAGTTGTTTAGGACCCAAAATACTATTAATAAGCAAAATATAAAAAAAATCTGAGACATGAACCTTAACTCTTCTGCGAAATGACCCTCATCCTGATTAAGCTTAAGATATCTTTTTTGGAAATATCTTTGATTATATGTCCACGTTGACATTTGCTTTAACCCCCCCCCCTTCGTGGACTTTTGATTCACCCCCCCCCCCCTGCCACCCAAATGTGTCCACGTGGTTTATAGACGGCCCCTGTCAGCGTTTTGCGTTGCGTCGTAATGGGAGAGAAAGAGACGCAAATATATACGTTTGCTGCATTCTCTCTCATTACAACGCAACGCAAAACGCTGCCATGGGACTGCGGCCTAAGAGTGCAGTCCCATGGCACCGTTTTGCGTTGCGTTTTGTAACTAGGCAATGAGTGCAAATAGAGCAAACATATATCTGTATCTCTCTCACACTCATGGCCTAGTTACAAAACGCAACGCAAAACGCTGCCATAGGACTGCGGCCTCACTGTGAATACGTCGACCGAAAGCAGAAAATCATGAGTGCAATAGAGATAGATAGATATTGTTGTTCTTTTCACTTATGGTTTTCTGCTTTGATCGACGTAAAAACGTCGAATGCTCAGAACATCGAACTGTTAATTCGTCGAATGCTCAAAACGTCGAATGATAAAAACGTCGAATGCTAAAAACATCGAATTGTCAAAAGTTCGAAAAAGTTCTTTGTTTTAAGTTAATGTCTACTGAAGACAAAGAACTTTTTCGAACTTTTGACGATTCGATGTTTTTAGCATTCGACGTTTTTATCATTCGACGTTTTGAGCATTCGACGAAATAACAGTTCGATGTTCTGAGCATTCGACGTTTTTATCATTCGACGTTTTGAACATTCGACTACTTTACCATTCTACTACTTGGCAATTCGAACAGATGGCGTTTCGACTACTTTACCATTCTACTACTTGACATTTCGAACAGATGGCGTTTCGACTATTTGAGCATTCGACGATTTGAGAATTCGATGTTTTTAGCATTCGACGTTTTAATCATTCGACGTTTTGAACATTCGACGAATGGAAAATTCGATGATTTAAGCATTCGATGAATTAACAATTCGATGTTTTGAGCATTTGAGAAATTGATAATTCGACGTTTTGAACATTCGACATGTTGAGATTCGATGTTTTTAGCATTCGACGTTTTTATCATTCGACGTTTTGAACATTCGACGAATTGAGAATTCGATGTTTTTAGCATTCGATTAAATGAAGATTCGAAGTTTTTAGCATTCGACTAAATGACGATTCGATGTTTTGAACAATCGACAACTTTACCATTCTACTACTTGATAATTCGAACAGATGACGATTCGACGTTTTGAACATTCGACAACTTTACCATTCTACTACTTGATAATTCGAACAGATGGCGTTTCGACTATTTAAGCATTCGACGAATGGACTATTCGATGGTTTTACCATTCGACTAAATGAGGATTCGACGTTTTTAGCATTCAACGTTTTAAATATTCGACGTTTTGAACATTCGACGAATGGGGATCATTATATGTAAAGCTAATCTCAGATGGCAGCACTATAGCAAGATTTGTCTAGCGCTTAATTTTTGATTTCTCGAAAAGTCATATTTGTTTTACAAACAAATGGGCGAAGTAAATAAATACTTTTTTTGGAATTGTGAAAAGTTAAAAATTGAATTACTTGGGTGAGGAATTTGTGTCACAGGAAAAAAGACGGTTTTGCAAGTCACAGTATCGTAAAAGTATAGATAAAAAAAAATTGAGGTTATGTTGCCTGTTATTAAAGATATTGTAAACACATTTTAATTTTGAATCTCCCAACATCTTTAAATAGTTTTCCGTACTTTATTATAACCAATATTTCTGATCTAATGATTTTATTCTTCATTTACATGAACAAAAACCATTTATATTGTTTAATTAATATTATGCAACAAATCACATTTAAAATTTTGCGCCATAAAATCTTATAGTAGTGCTGCACTCTACTGGGGCCGTATTCTCGAATCGATGACCCTAGATGTCGCATGCGACAGACCATTCGAGATGGAAAAAGCTATTCTCGAACGCTTGTCGCATGCGAGATTTCATGTCGTATGCGATAATTTCCGAATGGTTCATCTCGAGTGGGTAGTGGCCATTCGAGATGCAAAGTCGTATACGAAATGCTAGTAAAAAAAGGTTGTGTGTCATCCTTGTAATAAACGTATATAATATAAAGTAGTATTAGTGTACATGAACCGCATGCTAAAGTAGAAAAACTATACAAAATAACCTAAATGTAATGTTTAAGAATTAAAAGTAAACTTGTGAAATAAAAGTTTAATGTAAATAATTTATAATATGCAAAATTTATAATGGATAAATTGCACATGTTTGTGTTATTTTTGTGAATGAATCATGTTAACAATATATTTATTTTATTTTTTTTAATTTTTTAATCTTCGTTTCATTTTTTCTGTCTGTTCACACTTTAAAGTTAGTTTTTGTGTATGCTTTTGTTTTTTTCTTTACAAAATATTGTTTCACAAATTGAAAGTATGCTCTTTTTTAAGATTTAAAATAAAATAAAATTTAAAATTATAAAATTACAAAAAATTTTGATTAACAAATAAATTTTCTTTTTGCAAAAATAGGAAATATATATATTTATTAATTAAAATTATGCATAATATAAAGGGATATATCCCTTTATTATGCATAATTTTAATTTTTCAATAACAATATTGTTCACAAACTGATTCTTTTCTTTAAAAAAAAAATATTACATATTCCAGTTTCTTAACATTTTTGTAAAAAATTCTCAATTTACAAATGCTAATATTAAAACTTTAATATAAAAAAAATGTTGTTACATTTATTTACGAATTTCTTTAATTATAAAATTATTCGTAATAATATCAGTAACTTCTATTTAAATAAATATTTGATTGTTATTATTTTTTCATTATTTTATTACATTTAAAAATAATTAAATTTTTGTAATCATTTTGTAACGTACGTCTACAAAATTCAATGTATTTAGTGTTTTTAACTAAAATTCTTCTATAAATTCATTATTTTTAATAATTAATTAAATATATATTGCCAAATATAACTAATTTCAAAAGAATTTGAATTATCAAAAGTTTAAATTAAATTCATTCAAAATTAAAATTTTATAAAATTTCAAACTGAAACCGCTTAAAGTTAATTTGTTTATAAAAATTGTAAACGCAAAATTGAATTGATTTTGAAATATTTAAATGAACGGATAACTATTTGTATTTTTCTCATATGTCAAGTTCTCTTCCTCCTCAATTATGATTGGCAGATAAGTATTTGGAAACGACGGCAACAATGTATGAATGTCGCACACGGAAATTTTCGAACAACCTATCTCGAACGGTCATTGAGAATAGACTTTCAGAGTCGCATGCGACATTAACCATTCGACATTTTACGCATGCGAGAATTGTCGAATGCTTTCGAGAATACGGCCCCTGGTCAAGTTTGGCTGTGAGGATCCCCATTGAGAATTCGATGTTTTTAGCATTCGATTAACTGAAAATTCGATATTTTTAGCATTCGACTACATGACGATTCGATGTTTTTAGCATTCGACGTTTTTATCACTCGACGTTTTAAACAATCGACATATTGACAATTCGATGTTTTTATCATTCGATGAATTAATAATTCGACGTTTTGAACATTCGTCGTATTGACGATTCGATATTTTTAACATTCGACTAATTGATAAATCGACGAATTGATAATTTGACGTATTGACAATTCGATGTGTTTTTAGCATTCGACGTTTTGTCCATTCGATTACTTGGCATTCGACTATTTGATCATTCGACGACTTGGCGATTGGGGGATATGCATGCGTCTCGTATTCTGCTCACATGTGATCGCACCCTAAGGGGGACAAAAATATTTTTCTTCTAGTTCACTCCATACTGCTTGCACACGCAGGCAGCCCACTGTGACCGATCCATTATTCTCTCATTATTCTGAATACATTGTGCTTAGACCCTTATAATCGTGTTTATTATTAGAGAACCGTTAAGTCTTTTGAATTAAAAAAAAGTTCTCAAGAAGCTTCATATGATATATATATATATATAATAAAGTTGAAAACTTTACATTATCTCAGTAAGTATCTTTTAGGAATATTTAAATAAAAATATAAATCACTTTAACGTTTTAAGTAATATAATTATTCTAAAGTATATCAATTTTTTTTATATAATCTTAATGTACTGGTAAATAATTTTCCTTTGTGTTTTGTTTGGATGATTGTCAAAATTAAAATAAGCATTCTACTCAGGTTTTCTGGAAAATTTAAACAATTAAAAGTATCACTTTATTAAAGATTGAATATTTTTGAAATTAAGAAAGAATTTTTGTAACATAACCTAAAAGGATTATTGTTTCTCATTCTTTGAAATTTTTAATCTTTATTTAGACTACGTGTTTATTGGTGAATTATAAAGACAAAATTGTTCATCCTTTTTCTAAACCATTTTTTTATTATACACATTATTTTTTGTTTCAAAAGAATATTTTTATTTGTTTTTTGACCTTATAATGATCAGAATAATTTTGTTGGGCTTTAGTAGAGCAAAAAAAGCTCTTTACAAGTCATAAATAAAAAAAAGTTTCACCAAGGTCATTAGGACATACTTCAAACTTATTTTTTTTTCAAGTCAAGAAAATGTACAGAAAATTTTCAGTATTTTTTAATTAGATTTTGCATTTGAGGATTCTGCTATTTAATGATTGAAAGCTATTTTTAACTTAAAGATTAAAGCGCTGCATAGTTAAAGCTAAAATTTTTATGTTAATTTCATGAATACTTTGCTTCCTTATAAAGATTTTTATTTTATGAGTGAATATTATAACCTATTTTGTAGTTTTGACAGTTTTTTCGGCTCTATATCGAAATTAGACATAACATTACCGCGAATGTTCTCACACACTATAAGCAAATTGTGGAATCACTGATGATTTATAATGCATTAGAATCGTTTCAATCCATCTATTTTTTTAAGTTATACGTGTTGTTACTTTCCTCGGTCTCCCCTTTCCCTTTAGCTCTTACAAAATTCGAGACATTTATGAAAATATGTTATGTATTTAAAAACCGACCATTAAATGTAATTAAGGAAATTTGAACCTTTATGACTTCCAGTTTTACAACACAAATCTTTCCCGTATTTAGTTAATGGAGTTTTGAATAATTTTTAATTAAAGTTATTAGAAAATATCTATAATAATATAGATTATGGTTAACACTCCGTCAGAAAAATTACAATTTGCATGGGGTCTACGGATTATTCTGTAATTTGGTGAAGTTGTTATATTTGATAACAAAAATAAGTGTACCAAAGGATTTTAAAAAATTTTCAAAATTGTAAAGATTACGCCATTTTGAATTTTTTTATAAGATTTTTTTCAAATGTGAATAGTTCCGAAACAATTTAACGGATTTTAATAAAATTTAAATATGTTATAGTTAAAATTATGTCCTTTCAGAATTTTTCAAAAAAAAAATTTTTTTTTGTTTTTTTCAAAAAAAAGTAAAAAAAAATTTTTTGAATCGATTTATTAAGCACGGGACCGATTTTTGAGTATTTTTCGATATATAATAAAATATTCCTTATAATTTCACCTTTCATTTACAAAAAAGAAAACGATGGAGACTTTAATAGTTTTCGAGATATTGCAATTTTTGTGGAAGCGCGACCACGTTTCAGTACCAGCGCAGTATCTTTTACCCGGGATGCCTCACAGTGGGATTTTTTACACTTTACTCTTCAAAATTGTCTAGAGCCTACAAATTTTATTGGATTTTAATGTTCTTGCTCTTAAATGAAAGGGGATAAAATTTCTAAGAGATCTCTTTAAACTCTATAACGAGGGCTCTGTCTCTCGGTATAGCGAGAAAAATTTTCTCCCGATTACCCCCACTATTTATAAACAAATACACATTCAGTTGGTTTAAATTTGGTTAAAATCAATTTTATTTATATAAAATAAAAATAAAAAGTCACTTCTTATTTGAAATAAATAAATAAATTTTCTGTATGTTAAAGTTCAAATTAAACTAGGTTACGTTTGTAATTTTGACATTATTTAATTTGTAAACACTAAAAAAAATGAATGAAGAATCTTAAAAGTGGGGATTTCTCCTCTTGCGCTCGTAATAGAGGGAGACTTGACTCCCGAACTTCTCGTTATAGCGAGATTCGAGTGTATTTCCGAAACAATTTAACGGATTTTAATAAAATTTAAATATGTTATATAGTTAAAATCATGTCCTTTCAGAATTTTTCAAAAGAAAAAAAAAATTTTTGAATCGATTTATTAAGCACGGGACCGATTTTTGAGTATTTTTCGATATATAATAAAATATTCCTTATAATTTCACCTTTCATTTACAAAAAAGAAAACGATGGAGACTTTAATAGTTTTCGAGATATTGCAATTTTTGTGGAAGCGCGACCACGTTTCAGTGCCAGCGCAGTATCTTTTACCCGGGACGCCTCACAGTGGGATTTTTTACACTTTACTCTTCAAAATTGTCTAGAGCCTACAAATTTTATTGGATTTTGATGTTCTTGGTCTTAAATGAAAGAGGATAAAATTTCTAAGAGATCTCTTTAAACCGATTTTTGAATTTTTAATTGTTTATTTATTTTTTTGTTACTCAAAGTTAACAATTTAAAATATTTTTGTAAAAAATACTGTTTATTTTTTATTTTTCTATTGCACAAGATCGAAATCAATTTAAATTAGTCTAGTCTGACCACCTGACAAATAATAATGCATAATACAGTTTATTTAAATTGTTAAAAAAAACAATTTAAATTAACAAATAGATAACTTTGGTCTGTTTTTTTTTAAATTGTTTTTTTTGTAGACAAATTTATGTTTATTTAAGTAATGTATGTCTATTTTGTAAAAAAATGATTTGAAAGTTAACAATTATCATTGTTATTAATAATTATATAACCAATAATCTATTTTCTTTTGCATTTATAAACATTTCCAGCATTTTTTAAACTTTAAATATTTATATCATATGTACATTCTTTCAAAAACTTAAAAAATTTATTAGCTTAAACAATTACATTTGTTATAAAGAAATTATTTACTTTGTAAACAAATAAATGGCTTATTTCTGCAAAAAAATAGAACCTTTTTGAACGAGTTTAACATTTTAAAGCTCTACTTAAATATCGATAACTTGAGTATTGTTAATATCAACGATAATCATTAACTTTAAAATCATTTTTTTACAACGTTGACATGAATTACTTAAATAAACATAAATTTGTCTAAAAAAACAATTTTTTTAAAAAGACCAATATTATCTATTTGTTAATTAAAATTGTTTTAAAATCAATAAGTAAATTTTACGAGTTTTTGAAAGAATGTACATATGATATAAACATTTTAAGTTTAAAAAATGCTGGAAATGTTTATGAATGCAAAAGAAAATAGATTATTGGTTATATAATTATTACTAACAATGATAATTGTTAACTTTCAAATCATTTTTTTACAAAATAGACATACATTACTTAAATAAACATAAAGTTGTCTACAAAAAAAACAATTTAAAAAAAAACAGACCAAAGTTATCTATTTGTTAATTTAAATTGTTTTTTTTAACAATTTAAATAAACTGTATTATGCATTATTATTTGTCAGGTGGTCAGACTAGACTAATTTAAATTGATTTCGATCTTGTGCAATGGAAAAATAAAAAATGAACAGTATTTTTTACAAAAATATTTTAAATTGTTAACTTTGAGTAACAAAAAAATAAATAAACAATAAAAAATTCAAAAATCGGTTTAAAGAGATCTCTTAGAAATTTTATCCCCTTTCATTTAAGAGCAAGAACATCAAAATCCAATAAAATTTGTAGGCTCTAGACAATTTTGAAGAGTAAAGTGTAAAAAATCCCACTGTGAGGCATCCCGGGTAAAAGATACTGCGCTGGTACTGAAACGTGGTCGCGCTTCCACAAAAATTGCAATATCTCGAAAACTATTAAAGTCTCCATCGTTTTCTTTTTTGTAAATGAAAGGTGAAATTATAAGGAATATTTTATTATATATCGAAAAATACTCAAAAATCGGTCCCGTGCTTAATAAATCGATTCAAAAAATTTTTTTTTACTTTTTTTTGAAAAAAACAAAAAAAAATTTTTTTTTTGAAAAATTCTGAAAGGACATGATTCTAACTTTAACATATTTAAATTTTATTAAAATCCGTTAAATTGTTTCGAAAATATTCACATTTGAAAAAAATCTTATTAAAAATTCAAAATGGCGTAACTTTTACAATTTTGAAAATTTTTATAAATCCTTTGGTACACTTATTTTTGTTATCAAATATAACAACTTCACCAAATTACAGAATAATCCGAAGACCCCATGCAAATTGTAATTTTTCTGACGGAGTCCTTACCCTTATGTCTTAGGTGCAGATTGAAATTTTACGCGAAAAATGTTTTTTCAAACAGATGTTTAGTTTTGTGTAAATATTGAAAACTTATTGTCCCTCAGAGGTCAAGATTTGTTCAAAAATCCTTTTAACCCTAAAGATTCAATCAACTTGCACGTAACAGACGCACAGTGGCGAAAAATGTACTTTTTCGTCACTCTACAGGTCATAATTTTTGTCCCAAATGATTTTTATTTTTTTCTTAATCTTCGTTATAAAATTCTCTATCAATTTCTGGGGCCCGATTTTTTAATTTTTTATTTTGAAAATTTTTTTAATAACAATAAGCATTAAAAACCCAGTGGGCAAAAAACCATCATTGTTTTAAAAACGTTCCAAAAACGTTTTTAGAACGTTTCATGTCTGCTAAATAACGTCCCAAAAACGTTATATGTTTCTAAAACGTTTTAAAAGCAATGGAACGTTTTTGGAACATTATTTGGCAGACATGGAACGTTCTAAAAACAATGATGGTTTTTTGCCCACTGGAAAGATCGTAAAAAATATTTTTTTAGCTTCATTAATTAAAAAAATTAATTAAAAAGCCTATTAAAGAAATATTTGAGTGTTTATGATTTATGAAAAAAGTATAACAATTTATAAAATTAAATTTGAAAGTAGTTAACAAGTTTTCC